AAGAAGTACTGTTCGACGGTGGTGGTATAAGCTGTACATTGAAAGAGTTTAAAAGGTAATTGAAGAAGTACTGTTCGACGGTGGTGGTATAAGCTGTACATTGAAAGAGTTTAAAAGGTAATTGAAGAAGTACTGTTCGACGGTGGTGGTATAAGCTGTACATTGAAAGAGTTTAAAAGGTAATTGAAGAAGTACTGTTTCGACGGTGGTGGTATAAGCTGTACATTGAAAGAGTTTAAAAGGTAATTGAAGAAGTATTTTGTTTAAAAATAACATCTTAATTATCAAGATAATTTGTCGTTTCCCATGTACACGGGACACTAAGATGTCAATGATAGATTTGACTGGCTTCATGGATTACCAGCATTATACATAACACAAGATAATATACTTAAACCAAACAAATTATATATACATGCTGAGTAGCAATAATAGTGATTTATATTATAAATTAATAAAGACAAATTATTACTACTACTACAGTTTTTTTATAAATTCTATCCGTGTTGTTTTTATACCTTAAATTTCAATCTAGGTAATAATTTCTTTCATTACTAATTTGTCAGATTTAGGTATGATCTATTTCATTTACTGAGTTCTTCAAAGTAAAATTTCTCCTGCTGCTTTGGAAAGAAAAAATGTCAACAGTTTTTGGTTGAATTTAAAACAAAATAAAGCTCCAGATAAGAAACTGAAATGTGTCATATTTAATTTAAAATTATTGTTCCTTGAAAAACAATGAGGCAAAAACAAAAGGCCAGGTCAACTGTTTATTGTAAAAATTTGTTACAATCGAGAAAAAACTATTTTATCTGTCCATAGATAAGTTTTATATTTTCTTAGAAGTGTAAAATATTTTCATTTTTACAGTAACAGTGATTTTGAATTTGTGTGTAAATAAGAAAGTTTATTGAAAAGTCAGTGTTGAGTTGTATGTGTAATACCCAACTTTTGATCTCTTTCAGAGATGAAACCTCAGTGGTATCCAATAACTTCAGTACCTTTTGACAAGATGTGGGCTGATGATAAACTGTGGTTCCCACTCTTACTGGAAAGTAAGAAGTTTCATGGGTACTTCAAGTTCCAGGGTCACGAAACCATTCTAGATTATCAGCTTAAAGAAGTGTCTAGTTTGGAGTCAAATCTTTGAATGCTATTATGCAATCAAGTTAAGCTTTGCCAACTATAAATATTCATGTGTTCAACTTATGTAAGGCATGTTACACAAGTTTGTTTTGTTTCTCTTAGAAAGCTGATGATAATAACACACCAGTTTATTCTTGTGGATGAAACTCCCAGAATTATGTCGACTGATAGGTTATTATGTACTGTACCACAAGATGTATAGCGTAATGTTTCATTATACTAACATCATTTAACCTAGACTCTTCTATTGTTTCATACTGTTAATGTTGTACAGTTATCTTTGACTAAGAGTAGTCACTGTTAAACAACAATGTAGTTATCTTTGCCTAAGAGTAGTCACTGTTAAACAACAATGTAGTTATCTTTGACTAAGAGTAGTCACTGTTAAACAACAATGTAGTTATCTTTGACTAAGAGTAGTCACTGTTAAACAACAATGTAGTTATCTTTGACTAAGAGTAGTCACTGTTAAACAACAATGTAGTTATCTTTGACTAAGATTAGTCACTGTTAAACAACAATGTAGCAAGTTGTAATTTTTTCTGTTTCAGAAGCTACAAGTACTAGTATCTTCATTACGAATATTTTGTCATATTCCATGTTATTTTATGTTAACTTTTTGTAAAAAATAATAAAAATTGGTAAGATATGTTTGATGTTTTTCTTGTCACGTTTTCTTTATTTTATGTTGAAATTACCTTTTTTTTTTTAGAAGTGGTATATCCAGGTGAAACTGAAATAACTTTTGAGCTATATCAGATAGGTCCTTGGGAGATCCAGTCAAGATATATATTTAGAAGTAACACTAAAATCTCTTTACTAATAATGAAACTGGATACAAAGTAAACTAGAAACATTCACAATCTTTATTAAACCCCAACTGAGTGTGCCTTCTATAGAATATGACAGATTGTCACTTTCACTGGATACTCTCACTGGATACTCTCACTGGCCTGTTCTTCAAGATCCTGTTTCAGACTGTTTAAATTAAATGTTCCTTAGTTCATAAGAAACATCCCATTTACTCTGAGTGACTAGTGCAACCCACGTGACTTGTCATTCCCATTACATTATAGCAATATCTCCCATGAGAAGAGGCCCACAGTGGCTCAACAGTAAGTCTTCAGACTTATACTGCTAAAACATGGGCTTTGTTATTCATGATGAGCACAGCAAAGTATTGACGTAAAACTGGTTAGGTCCATTTGATAACTGGAGATTCAATTGAGATATCGGTTACGGAGTAATGCTGAAACATGATGACTGGATCTACATTGAATGTAGTTAAATGACAGAATACAAAATGCTCAAGCTTTATTATATGATGAAATAGAAACACAGTGTGTGTGTACCTGCTTAGATATTCATAATATGTTGGACTGTTGAGTTATTCTGGTTCTTCCTTCAGTGTTTTCTGGTAGGATCTTATATAAGACCATTTAAAATGAGATCTATATTGAATGTAGTTAAATGACAGGTTGTGTAACAACAGCTAAGTTACCAACAACCGAACAGATTAGGTTGTGTAACAACAGCTAAGTTACCAACAACCAAACATATTAGGTTGTGTAACAACAGCTAAGTTACCAACAACCAAACATATTAGGTTGTGTAACAACAGCTAAGTTACCAACAACCAAACATATTAGGTTGTGTAACAACAGCTAAGTTACCAACAAC